GATGTATCAGCGAATAATGTGTGCAGATCCCAGTAAAGTGGCCTTCTGCAGATTTCAGATGGTAATTTTGTCAGTGCCAATTGTGTTTAAGTGCAGGCCAAGGTCTTTAGGCACTGCACCCACTGTGCCCATCACCACTGGGACCACCTTTACTTGTTTGTGCCAGAGTCTTCCCAGTTCAATCTTTAAATCCTCATATCGTGTCAGCTTTTTTAGTTGTTTCTCTTCAATTCTGCTATCACCTGGGATTGCAACATTGACAATCCATACTATTATTATTATTATTATTATTTCTAGCTTCCGAAAGCAATCCAATCACAAGCATGGTTGTTCAGAGGACGGTTGCCTTCATCTTTCTCTGAGGCCGAGAGTGTGTGACCTGATGCACTCCAAAGCATGATTGTCTGAGTTGAGTCACCTGTGATTGCAACATCAACAATCCATACTTTTATTATTATTACTAGCCATGCCCTGCCACGCGTTGCTGTGGCCCAGTCTAGTGATTCTCATGTTATCCTCTATTACAGTATTTCCCAACGTGGGGGTCGGGACCCCGGGGGGGGGGGGTCATGAGGGGGTGTCAGAAGGGTTACTAAAGACAACAGTATTTTCTGTTGGTCAGGGGGGTTCTGTGTGGGAAGTCTGGCCCAATTGTATCAGTGCTGGGGTTCAAAATGCTCTTTGATTGCAGGTGAACTATAAATCCCAGTAACTACAACTCCCAAATGTCAAGGTCTATTTCTCCCCCAACTCCATCTGTGTTTATATTTGAGCACATGGAACATTTGTGCCAAGTTTGGTCTAGATCTTTCATTGTTTGAGTCCACAGTGCTCTCTGGATTTAGGTGAACTACAACTCCAAAACTCAAGGCTAGTGCCTACGAAACCCTTTGAGTATTTTCTGTTGATCATGGGAGTTCTGTGTACCAAGTTTGGTTCAATTCCATTGTTGGTGGAGTTCAGAATGCTCTTTGATTGTCGGTGAACTATAAATCCCAGCAACTACAACTCCCAAATGACAAAATCATATTTTTTTTAGTGATGGTCACTCCTTGTGTTTTGTTGCCAAATTTGGTGTGATTTTGTTCATTGGTTCTTTTGTTTTTAATGTACTCATTATGCACAGAGAATTTATATATATATATAGATTATTATTATTATTATTGTATTCGTTTTGACCCAACTCTCCGATCTGTTTTGGTCATCTTGGATCCTGATGCTGATTTTTATATATATAGATTATTATTATTATTATTATTATTATTATTATTATTATTATTATTATTGTGTTCGTTTAGACCCAGCTCTTTGATTTGTTTGGGTCATCTTGGATCCTGATCCTGCCCTTTGGAGTATTAACTCTCCCTCCCAATTTGGTGTCACCTGCAAATGTGATCTGTGCATGCCTTCTATTCTAGTCTCTCTCCTCCCAAGAAAACGGTCCCAGCAGATTCCCAGTTCCCAGTTGGGTGCAATTTAGGAACGGAGGCGATCAGTCTCGAAAAACTTCCAGCGAGAGAAAGCTCTTGGGCCCACGACAGGAGGAGGAGGAGGAGAGGGGGGGAAGAAAGAGAGGAACACACAGATGGCGATCTTAGCATACCATCGGCAGAACAGACGGCGAGAGGGAGCCTGACAGCCTTCTCGTGTCATTTCAATTTCAAGCGAGGGGTGGCTTATCGTTGGGGAGGCTGAACTCCTTTCAAGGAAAGTTCACTTCCCACCCCGGGGAGGGAAATGCAAATCGCCGTCACCACACGACACGTTGGGTGCCAGCCGGCCCCCCAGACTGGATTTCTGCTCAGGGAGAAATAATAATAATAATACGAATAATAAGGAGGATCTTGGGAAGCGTTCCCGCTGTATGAATGCAGTCCTTTGTGGATTGGGGCGGAATGGCGAGAGAAGGAAAGAAGAGCAAAGAATGGCTGGAATTAGAACACACACAAAAACAAGAAAAACTGGACTATTCAGTTCCCAAACTAAGGAGTTATTTATCCGTCCCCCGCCCTAAACTTTAGGCTAGGGTCACCCTAAGTCTGAAACAACTTGAAGACTTACGACAACAATCCTAATTGACTTGATTGCGGGGACAATGCCTGACTCGATAGCAATGAAAAAGTCCTCGTGGACAACAAGTTAAACATGAACCAACAATGGGTTGTTGTAGGATTTTTTGGGATATATGGCCATGGTCTAGAGGCATTCTCTCCTGACGTTTCGCCTGCATCTATGGCAAGCACCTCTGAGGATGCTTGCCATAGATGCAGGTGAAATGTCAGGAGAGAATGCCTCTAGACCATGGCCATATAGCCCGAAAAAACATACAACAACCCAGTGATTCCGACCATGAAAGCCACTGGACAAAATGACACAAAATTTGGACACAATACACCTATCAGGTCAACAAGTGACCATCACTCATAAAAACACTGAAAATTACAGCAGAAGAGACTTAAAAAGCCAAAAAACAAAAAAAAATACAACACATGCGCAAAAGCACATATGTACCCAAACACACATATATACACATATACACAAATATATACAGAAATATATACACACATATATGCACACACAAAACACATAGGAGGAAGGAAGGAAGGAGGGCGGGAGGGAAAGAAGGAGAGAAGGAAAGAAAGAAAGGTAGAGAAGGAAGGAAGAAGAGATGGAAATAAAAAAGTGAAAGAGGGAGGGAAGGAGAGAAGGAAAGAAAGAAAGGCAGAGAAGGAAGGAAAGAGAGAAGGAAATAAAAAAGTGAAAGAAGGAAGGAAGGAAGGAAGGAAGAAGAAGGGGGAGGAAGGAAGGAGACAAAGAGGGAAAGAAAGAGAAGGAAAGAAAGAAAAGTAGAGAAGGAAGGAGAGAGGGAAATAAAGTGAAAGAGGGAAGGAAGGAGAGAAAGAAAGGTAGAGAAGGAAGGAAGGAGAGAGGGAAATAAAAAAGTGAAAGAGGGAAGGAAGGGGAGAAGGAAAGAAAGAAAGGCAGAGAAGGAAGGAAGGAAAGAAGGAAATAAAGTGAAAGAGGGAAGGAAGGAGAGAAGGAACGATAGAAAGAGGGAGGGACGTTTCGCTTGAGATATTGACAAGCTGGAATGTGTCCAGAGGTGGGTGACTAAAATGATCAAGGGTCTGGAGAACAAGCCCTATGAGGAGCGGCTTAGGGAACTGGGCATGTTTACCCTGAAGAAGAGAAGGCAGAGAGGAGATATGATAGCCATGTATAAATATGTGAGAGGAAGCCACAGGGAGGAGGGAGCAAGCTTGTTTTCTGCTTCCTTGGAGACTAGGACGCGGAACAATGGCTTCAAACTACAAGAGAGGGGATTCCATCTGAACATTAGGAAGAACTTCCTGACTGTGAGAGCCGTTCAGCAGTGGAACTCTCTGCCCCGGAGTGTGGTGGAGGCTCCTCTTTTGGAGGCTTTGGAACAGAGGCTGGTTGGCCATCTGTCGGGGGTGCTTTGAATTCAATTTTCCTGCTTCTTGGCAGAATGGGGTTGGACTGGATGGCTCACGAAGTCTCTTCCAAGTCTATGATTCTATATACATATATACATGCACACACAAATATACATATACACAGATATAGAAGGAAAGAAGGAGAGAAGGAAATAAAAAAGTGAAAGAGGGAAGGAAGGAGAGAAGGAACAAAAAAGAGAAAGAGAGAGGGAGGGAAGGAAGGAAGGAAAGAGACAAGGAAGGATGGAACCAAATAGCAAAGGAAGTGAGAAAGGAAACAGAGAAGGAAGGAAGAAGAAGGGAAAGAAAAAAAGGGAAGGAAGGAAAGAGGGAGAAAAGGAAGGACAGAAAGAGGAAGGTTGGTCACAGCAACACATGGCGGTTACAGCTAGTATGATATTATAATTATATATTTATATTACATATAATATTACTAATAATATGACAATATAATGATATAGTACAATATAGTAATATTTAATACTGATATTGTACTATGCTAATAATATAATATATTGTATGTATATATATCGTAAGCCGCTCTGAGTCCCCTTCGGTGTGAGAAGGGCGGCGTATAAATATCGTAAATAAATAAAACAAAAAGCCAATGAGATTTTGGCCTGCATAAATAGGAGTATTGTTTCTAGATCCAGGTATCCAGGGAATCAGGTGTTTGTAATTCCCTTTGTGCCTTTGTTTCTCCAAATGACCAGAAATGAAGAATTATTCCTTCTTCCTTCCTTCATTTAAGCATCAACATTTGATCTCAACACTCGCCAAAGAAAGATCATCTCTTGTTGTCAAAGACTTTCATGGTTGGAATCACTGGGTTGTTGTGAGTTTTCCGGGTTGCATGGCCGTGTTCCAGAAGCATTCTCTCCTGACATTTCGCCCACGTCTATGGCAGGCATCCCCAGAAGTTGTGAGGTCTGTTAAAAACTAGGCAAGTGGGGTTTATATATCTGTGGAATTATGTCCAAGGTGGAGAAAGACCTCTTTGTCTTTGAGGCAAGTGTGAATGTTGCAATTGATCACATTGATTAGCATTGAAAAGCCTTGCCGCTTCAAAGCTTGGCTGTTTCCTGTCACAGATATATAAACCCCACTTGCCTAGTTTCCAGCAGACCTCACAACAAAGAATTCCCCCAGGCAGTAAGAAGCTGCTAGCCCATTACATTTTAATCAAGGTGGCCAATGTCAACATTCACACTTGTCTTAAGCAGGCAAAAGTTCTTTCTCCCACCCTGGACATCATTCCACAGATATATCAACCCCATATTCCTAGTTTCTAGCAGACTTCACAACCTCTGAGGATGCCTGTCATTGATGTGGGCAAAATGTCAGAAGAGAATGCTTCTGGAACTTTGCCATTCAGCCTGGAAAACGCACAGCAACTCAGTGATTCCAGCCATGAAAGTCTTCGATAAACAACAATGTTGTTGTTGTTGTTGTTGTTGTTTTTAGACAAGACTATTACTTTTGCTGTCTCACATTTGCTTCCTCCTTCCCTCCCTCCCTCCCTCTCTTTCTCAACCCTTGCAGGTCATGCAATATTTAAACTCACATATCTAAGCAACCATGACTACAAGCATCTCTACTTCGAGTCGGATGCCGCTACCGTCAATGAGATTGTGCTGAAGGTAGGTCCAAAATGGGAGTGCGAGGGCAACGGGGTGGAGATTGCGGGGAGGAGGCACCAGGAGGAAATGCTCCCAAGAGATTGATCATTGGTGGAATCATGGAGCCAGGGTTCAAGCGGGGATGAGCAGGGTCTCCCAGTTCCCTCTAATCATAACCTCAATCCTCGCGAAAGCTTCGGCAATGGGAGGACTCTCCCTGCCTTTTAACAACAATATATGATTATGAGCTTGTACCTATTGTTAATCTAATGGACAATTAGGAGGCAGTAAACCAGACCATGGTTGGAGCATTGGACTGAGACGCTGAGCAACCAGGGTTTGAACCATCCATGGAAACCTTTCCAGAAGCATTATCTCCTGATATTTCCAACCATTGATTACCCCAGGCAGGAAGCAGCCAAGCTTTGAAACTGCCAGGCTATTCAATACTAATCAAGCTGGTCAATTGTAACATTCACACTTGCCTTCAAAGACAAAGAGTTCTTTCTCTCACCCTGAACATTATTCCATAGATATATAAACCCCACTTGCCTAGTTTCCAACGGACGTCTTAACCTCTAAGGATGGCTGCCATAGATGTGAGCAAAACATCAGGAGATAATGCTCTGGAACATGGCCAGACAGCCCGGAAAACTCACATAACCCTGTCTCATGTCAGTTGATGATGAATCCCTTACAGGTTTTGTTTCAGGGTTAAAAGGAGCTCTCCAAAGTGCTGGATCATAGGCTGGAATGTTTTCAGCACCTTGGAGAGCTCCTATAAAACTAGCCAAAGCCTGGTATGGATTCGCTGACCCACTGACATGAAACCCGCTGATTATATAAATCCTAGTTTCCAACAGACCTCACAACCTCTGAGGATGCCTGCCATAGGTGTGGGCAAAATGTCAGAAGAGAATGCTTCTGGAACAGGGCCAGACAACCCGGAAAATTCACAGCAACCCATAAGACTCCAATGACTGGCATAGTTTCCAAGAGACGTCACAACTTCTGAGGATGCCTGTCATAGATGTGGGCAAAATGTCAGGAGAGAATGCTTCTGGAAAATGGCCAAACAGCCTGCAAAAATCACAGCAACCCTGTCCCATGCAAGTGGATGATGAATCCATTCTAGCTTTGATTTCAAGGTTAAAGGGAGCTCTCCAAAGTGCTGAATCCTATGTGGTAGTGGTTTCAGCACCATGGAGAGCTCCCATAAAGCTAGTTGAAACCTGGTATGGATTTGCTGGCCCAGTTTTAATTAGGCTTTTTGTGTCCCTTAGTGGCTCAATTTGGCTTATGATAGCCAATTAATTAATGCATTCTGACACCAAATGCCATGGTTCAATGCTATGAGATGCTGGAAGTTGTAGTTTTATGTGATGTATAGCCTTCTCTGCCAAAGAAGACCACTCCCAGGACTCCAAAATGATGCCAAACTGCATTAATTCTATAATGTATATGCACCAGAAATGGCGCTTGGTCCTGGTACTGAATAGGGACAACTTGTGCAAGCGAGCCAAGTTGTACACTGGCTACAAAATGTGAAATGAGTCCATCATTTTGGAACAGGGGCAAGTTGGTTCGAAAATGTGCTCTGGGTGGGGATTGAGTCATCTTTTACGAATCAGGTTCTTGATCTAATGGAGAAATAATGGTTCCAAGGCGTTGCTGGCTGCGAAGCCTCCCAACGTGGATTCCTTCTCCTGCCTTCCGCCCCAATCGGCAACGGAAGAGCAGCACCTCGCAGTGCATAAAATTGGGCAAGATTTTATGCCACAGCGTATTAGCCAGCTAATGGCGGAGCAAAGGGTGTCTTTATCTTTTGATTTTTGCATTAACCTCCCATTAAAATTATCTATGTGATTATTGCCCAAGTGCTGGGAGATAATAAATCTCGAGGAAGAGCCGGCTTGTTAAATATCATTTAATAACGCCTCCGTCGAGGAGCACACGTGCCAAAACACACAGGAGGCAGACAAAGAGCGGAGAGAGAAAACTTCGTCAAGAAAAGTGTGGAAGATACCCACTGTTTCTTGTACATTGCTAACAAAGCAATCTGACCGATTCTTCTGGCCATTTGTTAAGAGAAAGCTCAATACTGATTTTCTAGATCTTGAAGAACAGTCTTAGTGCTATAAACACAGATATCAAAAAGATAACTCAAAGGCCTGTTCATGGTGCACAACTAGTAGCACTGTATTCCACTGTGGGATTTGTATTTGGTGAGATACAAGAGCTCCCCGGTTGAGATTTACCCCTGTCTGAACTGTAAATCCCCTGTTGTTGTGTGCCTACAACTTGCGTTGACCTTAAGGCAAATTGTGGGGTTTTCTTACATTCATTGTCTTTCTCTGAGGCTGAGTCAGTCACTTCCCAGTGGTCCAGACAGTGAGTTTCCATGGCTAAATGGGGATTCAGACTCTGGTTTCAGTCATAATCCAGTGCTCAAATGACCATGAAAGCATCTATAGCAGTGGTTCCCAAACCTTTTTTGACCAGGGACCACCTGACTAGGGACCACTTTGACCAGGGACCACTTTAACCAGGGACACTTGACCAGGAACTACTTGAACAGGGACTACTTGAACAGGGACCGCTTTGAACAGGGACCAATTTGACCAGGGACCACTTGATCTGGGACCACTTTGAACAGGGACCACTTGACCAGGGACCACTTTGACCAGGGACACTTGAACAGGGTCCACTTGACCAGGGACCACTTTGAACAGGGACCACTTGACCAGGGACTACTTGAACAGGGACCGCTTTGACCAGGGACCACTTAACCAGGGCCCACTTTGACCAGGGACCACTCTCCAACATTAGCTCCAACATTGATCACTGGCATTTTCTGGCATTTTCTTTTTCTTTTCTTTTTTTTGTGCTGTAAATTACCTTCTCCCTTAAGCAGTGCCTAATTTCTCTACTCACAGCTGTTTTTGAACTGCTTAGGTGGAGAGTCACCTGGACTGAAGGTCAGGTGTTCACCCCAACCCAGGCTTTGAACTGCCAATCTTTCGATTGGTGTGATCTATTGCTGCTGGTGATTAACCAGCTGTGCTAAAGCCCGGCCTTCAATTGTCCCTTAAATTCTGACAGCCCATTTGGCTATCAAAGCTCTTCTGGCAGGTCATTCTGCAGTCTTAGGGCGACCAATGAAAATCCATGAGACTTTAATCCATCTGAGGATACTTTCACCATTCTCTGGTTGTTGGCCATTCTTTGGGTCTCAAATGGTTCTTTCTTTGTCCCTTTCGTCTATCTCTCTCTCTCTCCAGGTGAACTATATTCTTGAATCCCGTGCCAGTACGGCCCGAGCGGATTACTTGGCTCAGAAGCAACGGAAACTGAGCCGAAGGACCAGCTTTAGCTTCCAGAAGGAGAAGAAAACAGGGCAGCAGTGAGGTCTTAGGATAGCCTGGAAGCCAATGGAAGAGATGCTGCCTGCTTAGAACCAAGTGGCAGGTGCCCCCCGGTTGCCTGGGACAGGAGGGGACTCATGAGCTCCGGCTGCCGAAACAGCCAGGGGCCAACCAGGGCAGAAATCGTTCTTTTATAGGTCGGCATGATGAGGCCGCATTTGGCCGCGGGCATCGCCCTTTGATGGAAACCAAGAGCCATATCAACCCCGAAGAGGGCCGCTGGGCATTTGAGGCCTCGTGGCCAGGAAGAGGCCCCCTTAGGCTTGACACCTTGTTTTGTTTTTGTTTTTCTAGAACTCTCTTTCAGACATTTACCGTTGCGAGGAAAGCCGCCGCAGGCTGGCCAAGCGATCCGCCAACAGAGGCTCCAACTGACTCAGGCCTCCCACTTGTAACACACTCAACACACACACAAACAAGACACACCCACAAACGTATCGCTTGTGACTTGGATCCGATTTCTTAAAACAAAAAATAAAACTTCTAGGACAAATGTACCCATTTTTTGCTATTAATAAACCAGTTGTACTCTTTCGCAAGGCCTAATTCCACAGTCTGGTTCTTGTGGTGCCATCATGTCACGTCTACTTTCTTTGAAACATACGGATCGTGGGTTTGTGTGGATTTCTTGTGGTCAGAAAGTAGGGATGTGTTCTGTTAATCATTTCCATGCAGGAGAATCGTAGCACCTCTTGTTAACTCCAGATGCCACCAAAAACTATTTTTCAGATAGGCCTTCCATGGGCAGAAATTGGGAAGGTGGTGAAAAAGCAGCCAAGGATCTATAGCTGTGCTTCCCAACCTTTGGTCCTTGGTGTGTTTTGGACTTCAGCTCCCAGAAATCCTAGCTATCTTACCAGTTGTGGGAGCTGAAGTCCAAAACACTTGGGAGAACCAAAGGTTGGGAACCACTGATCTATAGCCTTTCGGGATCTTTGGTTGCTTTTTCCACTCACCCACCATACATGACTTTAGGAGAAGACCATGGTCTTCCAGGACCCCCAACTCTCTCCGGTTCTTGCTTGTCACATATAATATTAGGATAAGGCTATAGCCTTTGGGGATCTTCAAGGTGAAGACCATGGTCTTCCAGGACCCTCAACTCTCTCCGGTTCTTGCTTGTCACATATAGTATTAGGATAAGGCTATAGCCTTTGGGGATCTTCATCTTCCTTCTCTCTTCAGGAGAAGACTATAGTCTTCTGGGATCCTCGAGTTCTCTTCTTCCTTCATGGGATTGAGAGAAGACCATGGACTTCTGGGCTCTTCAGCTCTCTCCCCACTTGCTTACCACACAAGGACTATAGCCTTCCACGATCCTCAGCTGCCTTCACCTGCCATCTTCAGTCTATATAAAAATCAAAGTATATATGTTGTTTGGTTGGTTTGTTTTTACCACAAAGACTTCTACATGGCTTGATGGATCCGGACCACACTTGGCACACACTTGGAGAAAGGCAGAAGAAGATCTGGAAAGCGCTAGCCTTCCACTATCCTTCCTTTGCTTTCCAATGCCTGCTCACTGTGACATTAGGACACCAGGGGGTTGAGAAAGGCTCAGAAAAGATTGTCCTGATTGGACGTTTAAAAGGTTCCTTTCTTTTTATTTATTCAGATATTCAGGAGTTTCAGCAGGATATTCAGCAGGGAGCGTTATGGATATATCTGGAGTGATCCCATGTGCTGGGAAGAACAACTACTGACAGGCCTTTAGGAAAGGAGGTAAAGTTGAGAATCATTCTTGACCGTGAAGGCAGCATTAAGGTAGCTTTATGTCAGTGGTTTCCAACACTTTTTTAACCAGGGGTCGCTAGACCAGGTTCCACTTTGACCAGGGACCTCTTTGACCAGGGACCTCTTTGACCATGAACCACTTGACCAAGGACCACTTAACCAGGGACCACTTGACCAGGGACCACTTTGACCAGGGACCCCTTTGACCAGGGACCACTTGACCAGGGACCTCTTTGACCAGGGACCACTTCACCAGGGACCTCTTTGACCAGAAACCACTTGACCAGGGACCACTTGACCAAGGACCATTTGACCAGGGACCCCTTTGACCAGGGACCACTTGACTAGGGACCTCTTTGACCAGGGACCACTTCACCAGGGACCACTTTGACCAGGGACCCCTTTGACCAGGGACCACTTGACCAGGGACTTCTTTGACCAGGGACCTCTTTGACCAGGGACCACTTCACCAGGGATCACTTTGACCAGGGTCCACTTTGACCAGGGACCCCTTTGACCAGGGACCACTTGACCAGGGACTTCTTTGACCAGGGACCTCTTTGACCAGGGTCCACTTGACCAGGGACCACTTGACCAAGGACCACTTAACCAGGGACCACTTGACCAGGGAACCCTTTGACCAGGGACCACTTTGACCAGGGACCACTTGACCAGGGACTACTTTGACCAGGGACTACTTCGACCAGGGACTTCTTTGACCAGGGACCTTTTTGACCAGGGACCACTTCACCAGAGACCACTTAGCCAGAGACCACTCTCCAACATTTCTACCAAAATGGTTACAAATCAGTTTTTGGTCAAATTTTGATTTGGTTTTGGTTATTTGGGGTGCTGATTCAGAAAATTGCATTGGATAAACCACATCAGCTCTAGTTTCTGATACAGAACATATGCCATCCAGTAGTCGCAATTTGCTCTCTCACAGAAAACCATAATTAATAATCTAGAGCTGATGTGGTAGTAGTAATATTTCATGGGTAGTCTGCCTCTCCCCTCCCGACATCCCCGTTGCCTCAGCACCATAAGAGGGTTTTGCAAGACCAGTTGCTCTCGTTGCTGTTTAGTTTCGAGGCAACGGTGTGGTAATGGTGAGGCCGGAGTCCATATTTTCATTCTTATGGACCACTCGTGGTCCACTGCTTTATGCAAACCTCTCCATGGGGATGGTAGCCCTTTGGATCTCTAATAATAATAATAATAATAATAATAATAATAATAATAATAATAACAACAACAACAACTTTATTTATACCCCGCCACCATCTCCCCCAATGGGGACTCGGGGTGGCTAGTAAGGTGACACAATGGGTTAAACCTTTGTGCTGGCAGGACTGCTGACTGACACATCAGCGCTTCTAATCCAGGGAAAGTGGGTTGAGCTCCCTCTGTCAGCTCCAGCTCACCATGTGGGGACATGAGAGAAACCTCCCACAAGGATGGTAAAACACCAAAACATCTAGGCGTCCCCTGGGCAATATCCTTGCAGACAGCCAATTCTCTCACACCAATAGCAACTTGCAGTTTCTCAAGTCGCTCCTGATGCCCAAAAAAAATGATAATATTGATCCGGTATCCCAATTGGGCAGTTATATCCCAATTCATCATCTTGTTGTCCCATCTTTTCAGCTGCCGTGAAAATAACCTGTGATCTGTCTCCTGCTCTCACTTTTGTTCTCAGCTTATGACAGTTGCGGCAAACTTGATTTCAACGCTCAGCAAGGAATGAAGAGGCATCGTCTTGCCCTTCCCAATAGGCTCAGGTAAAAGAAAGCTGCTGCGGACCTTCCTAGCTTGTATATTTTTCCTCAGTCATAGCTTTTGCCTTCATGACCATATTCTGATATATTTCGTTGGCCAATTTTGCCTCTGTTTTCATCTATGAAATGTCAGTGTGTATGGGATCCAAGTACAGTAGAGTCTCGCTTATCCGACCTCCACTTATTTGGCATTCCGTCTTATCTGATGCCTTTATCCAACGCCCCCTTTTTCCTCCAGCATTTCCCCTTCAATTAAAGGAGCACTCCCCAACTCTCTCTCCATTCCCAATGAGTAAAAAAAACAAGACAAGGAGGAGGAAAAGGGAGGAAAGGGGGGAAAGAGGCAGGACCGGAAGAGGAAGCATTCTCCCTCCTTCCCTCTGTGATTTCCATGTTCCTCTTCCTCATCCGGGTACTTCCTGCTGGGCTGCTGTAGCCCCGAAGCGTTGCCTATGCCTTAACCCTTTGAGTCCCTGTTGATGATGATGATGATAATAATAATAATAATAATAATAATAATAATAATAACTTTATTTATTATTTATTATTGTGGCACAGCTAGCTGAGTGTCAACTGCATTAAGATCACTCTGACCAAAAGGTCATGAGTTCAAAGCCAGCCCGGGTTGGAGTGGGCTTCCAACCAATTGTGTAGCCTGTTATCGACCTTTGCAACCCGAAAGACAGTTGCATCAGTCAAGTAGGAAAATTAGGTACCACCTTGTGTGGGGAGGCTAAATTAACTAATTTATGAGGCCATAAAAAAGCACTCCAGCAAAGCACTCCAGCAAAAGCATGCGAGGAATGCGGAAGTACTTCATCAGTGTCGCAGATGGACGATGAAAGCGACAGCTCCCCTGGCGGCCAGAAAAAGTTAAATAGCCTCTGTATATGTCTGTATACATTGTATGTCAAATTGGCATTGAATGTTTGCCATATATGTGTACACTGTAATCCGCCCTGAGTTCCCTGCGGGGTGAGAAGGGCGGAATATAAATATTGTAAATAAATACATAAAATAAATAAATATACCACCTTAACTTCCCTAGGGGACTCCATATATGCAAAATAATACAAAGACATACAATATAAAACAAAAACATAGGCATGAACAGTTAATACAATATATACATTAAAATCAATTTAAAACCGGTCTGGTTCTCGGTGTTTAGCGCCATGTTGGACAGGTAACAGTAAGAGACTCCGCATTACTGGGTTGTTGTAGGTTTTTTGAGCTGTGTGACCATCTTCTAGAAGCATTCTCTCCTGACATTTCGCCTGCATCTATGACAAGCATCCCCAGAAGTTGTGAGGTCCGTATTATCCGACATTTTTGTTTATCTGACATTCTGCCAGCCCGTTTATGTCGGATAAGCGAGACTCTACTGTAGATCCAAGTAGAAGTTGGTTTCCTGCGCAATAAGTTGAGAGCACTTTGGGGATGGAGGCAAAAGCGAGGCTCTCGAGCCCAACCTTTGGAAGAAACCAGAGGAAGGAACCTCATTAAGGCACTGCTCGGGTGCAGCCCGCCAAGATTAATGGGGGCAGTTATTCACGGAGACACGTCTGTAATGGAACCATGAATTTCCAGAGGAATCTGCCTCCCGGAGTTGTTGCTACATTTCAGGAGGGAGCTTCAGCTAAAATTAATGCTGCTTAAATCATCAGCTCCTATCTCCGAGGCCTCGGCCACAGCTACTCCGAGCAGGTGGGGTTTCGTTCCTTTTTTTATGATGTGCCAAAAAAGGAAGGAGAGGGGCTCACAGGGGAAGGAGAGGAGGACCGTAAAAGCTGTATCTCTCAAAGTTTTCAACCCTCTCTTTTCCCTACCTTGGCTTTGTTTGTTGGAACCCCTTTGCAGTGGAAAGCGTTGCTCAACCTTCCTAGTGCCGCAACCCCTTCATACAGTTCCTCATGTTGTGGTGACCCCCAACCATAACATCACTTCGAAACTAGGGGCTTATATATCTGTGGAATGTCTAAGGTGGGAGAAAGAGTCAACATATAGTTGAGAAAGGCGAAGCTATAAATGTCG